CAGGCCCCAAGAAGCGGGACCCCAGGAAGTGGGACCCCAGGAAGCAAGAGGGCACTGCTGAGGGGCGGTGCAGGCCCCAAGAAGCAGGACCCCAGGACACAAGACAGAGCCGCTGGGGGGGGCGCGGGCCCATCGTCTGGTCACATAAGGGACTTGGGCCTGAGTCAGAGAGAAGCCCATTCGAAGGCTTTCCTGGAGACGCTGTCCGCCAGGCCCGGTGTGGACGGCAGCCTGGGGACCCAGGAAGGGACAGATGCCCTCACCACTTCAGTGGGGGGGGGGGGGGGGGGGGGGTGGCTGCAGGGGTGTGTCTGTGCCACGCCCAACAGGTCCACAATGGGTGGGGGGCTCCCTTAGCCCCGGACCAGCAAGGTGGACAGAGGAAGGTGAGAGGGAACAGGAGGAAGGCTGTCCAGGGCCTTGGGGTCTGTAAACACTCGGCTGCCTGCCCGCTTTGCGAAGCGCTGGGGACCCTGGGGACCACCGTCCGTGGGCGCACACCCTCTTACTCGCGCAACGCTCAGGTGCATTACACCGGCCTTCGGATGAAACGCGCTCCTGGGCTGACCGGACCGCGGACCAGGCAGGGAAGAGATACTCACGTCCACTTCTCCTTGGTCGATCACGTAGAAGTTATCTCCTTCGTCCCCTGTAAGGACAGAAACACGCTGTGCACACCGCGAAGGGCACCGGGGGCCACGCTTCCGTCCCCCCGGAAGCTGGACCTGCCCCAGCTTCACAGAGGCCAAGGTCCCTGGGTCTCGCCGGGTACGTCTTGTTTGTTAAATAAAACTCGTACGCACGACACGAGGGCTGACCCACAGGGGCACGCTCCCCTCGCGCGGCCCCCCATGCTCTGTGTGTGGTGGGGCCCCCGTGGTCCCCGCCTGGCCCGTCTCAGGGTCCAGCTTCGCTGGTGGAACGTCACGGAGACGTGGGGTTGGCGTGCAGAGAGCCGTGACGTTTCTCGCGGGAGGGCGGGCCTTGTGCTCACAGGAAGCAGGAAACATACCTTGCTGGATGACGGTCTCCCCGGCGATGTGCGTGACGGGGAACATGGCGTCGAATATGTCGCTGCAAGAGAACACGCATGGCATGTGGGGGCTGCGGCAGCGCGGGGCACAGACCCCCCCACCCCTCACCTCACGCGGAGCAACCAGCTCCGGTCACCCGGGGAAACGGAAAAATCTGCCTTCGGAGGAAATCATGACCCTTCGTGGCCCTGCCGTCCGGGTGACATCTCCCAACCTCCAGACCATGTCCGTGCCGGGATCCACGGGGTTCTCAGTCTGGGTCTCCGCAGAAACAGAATCACCCCGCACGCATTGCGTCAGACACAAAAACAAGCTGACGGCAGACCCTGGCTGTTCCTCGCGTCAGGAAACGTGAGTCCGCCCGGACACGTCCTGTGAGCCTGCTTTCTGCACACTTCCCTCGAGGGGTGTCCCGAGATCCCCGAGGCAGGAACCAGGGCCTCTACGCGGCCTGGCCGGCCACCGGAGCCTGACCCGCGGGCCGTGCCAAAGGGCGGCCTGGCAGTTAAGTTTCCTAAATGTGGCTGTCGGATGGACCGAACGGGCAGGACACAGGTGCAGGGGAGGTGGAGTGTGGGACCCTCATCTCCGCGGGACTGCATCCAGAATGCACTGTCAGAGGTCAGCCTCGCTCCCCAAATGCGATGGCCACGCCCAGGAGACCGCGCCCACCCACCCACAGGGTCCCGAAGGAGAATCGGGCAGCTGGGGCCCCTGTGTGGGCAGGGCACACGGCAGGGCTCAGGGGGGGCCTGCCTCCTCTCCCCCCGCTGAACGGGAAACCTTCGCCCGACTGGTCAGGTGGAGTGAACCTCAGAGGAACTCGCGGGAGTTGGACACGACCCCCCAGGGGCCAGCGCGAAACCAGAGATCCCAACAGCCTTGTGCTCCGCTGTCTCTAGGATCCAGGAAACGTTAAAGGGTCTGGTCAGTTGTCCAAACTGCATTGCTTCAAAACCACAGCATCAGGGATGTCAAAGTGAGCAGATGTTGAAGAAACGATTCTACAATTCCTGCCTCGTTTTTTAAAAAATTCTCGACGGTAATGGTAAAACATTTTCCCAAATGCCATGAGTAATCAAGCCAACCCCGGGACCCGTCACCACCCAGCCGGGGCAGGTGCTTGGGACAGCGGTCAAGCCCCAGGGCAGGGCCGCAACCCACCGCCCACCCCACACGCGGCCTGGACCTCTATTCCAGGCGGACGAGCCCATGGAAAAGCCTGTCTCGATTTGGTGCCTTTGTCATTCACGCAGAAGTAACGGCTGTAACTCGAGTTTTTGTCCTGTGCTTCGTGACGTGTGTCCAGATGGAGAATCAGGCCAGGCCAGCGCCCCGCTGACCACGCAGGCGCCTCCCCAGGTACAGAAGCAGCGGATGACTCCCAATCTGTGAACAGCGAGGCCGGAGAGCCCAGCCCCACGCACCAAAAAGGGCCGCCCTCCCCCTTTTCCCTCAGAAGAAGCTAACGCCCCCAGAGCCCCCCAGCCCGTCACCAAGGCTGGAACACAGGCTGTGTGCGGGACGGACGCCGAGAGGCCCCCCTCCTTCCCCACCTCTGCGTCCTCTCAAACAAGACCCAATCCTTCCTGCCTCTTAGCACTTAATGGCATTAAAAGACTCTGATGAAAAGAGAAACGGTTTTCTATTCTAATCTGTAAGTGACCTCTGGAAACCTTTACTGAAGCTGTCGCCTGCATCTCAGCGTCTGACACCGGGTCCTGCCGCGGCCCCCGCCAGGCTCCGGAACTGGGCTTGGCAACTCCTGGGTCGGGGCCTGAGCCAGGCCCGGGGACACAGCCCTCGCGGCCGTGGAGACACAGAAACGTGAAGAGGTTACAGCCCTCACTCCCCAAGGACGCTGGCCGGGTGCCCTCCATCCGCCCGCTTGCTCCGAGGTCAGACCTGCGGCTGTCTCGTCCAGACAAGGAAACCAGAGACACTAAGTAACTCTGCCAAGGTCAGCAGCTGGGAAGAGGTGAGGCCAGGCCGCACCCCTGCCTTCCTGTGCAGGGCTCTGTGGGGCGCCCCGGGGCTAAGCGAGGCCTCCCAGTGTGTTCAGGGGCACGGGGCCTTCCCGGTCTCAGGAAATGCCCTCAGAGAGCAGGTGGTGGAGGGTCCTGGCCGCCAGCCCCGGGGAAGCCACAGGCACACTCTGCCCTCCTCCAATCTTGGCCCGACGGTGGGGTCCTCTGGCTCCTGAGAGGTCCCCAGGCCAGAGTGGTCGCCACTCCCTCAACAGCGGGGAACAGCTGACGAAGGGGTGCCTGCTGGTCTTGGCCCCGTGTCCATGTGGCCCCGCGGGCACCTCTCGCCAGAAGCAGGTGAACTCACCTCGCTCGAGGGCAGCGAAGGGGCCCTGGGTTTGACCAGGAGTGATGGGGGCAGAGGCATTATCTATTCATTTTGTTTTAATTATGATTACTTATTGGTACCGACGGTTTCTGTCAACTTCAGGCCAAGGTTGGTTCTCAGGCCCGCTGCACCGTGGATGTCTTCGGCTTCTAGCTGTGTTTATGCACGCCTTCCAGAAAAGCAGAATAAATAAAAAAACCAGCGAAGTCAACGATACGGAGACAGGGATCCAAACACTCAGACAAGCGGTCTGCAGCAGACTGGCCCAGGCACTCGCACACCTGCCTGCATCACAGCGAGCAGGGGCCTAGGGAGCACCCGACGGTGAGGGAGCCACGAGCATGAGGCTCTTTTGAGACAATCTGCAACAGCCAGGATGGGTGCGGAAACACATCCCAGGCACCGCTCAGGTGCACAACGGAGGGAAACGCCAGCCTTAGTGGGCTGGTGACTGTCGGACGGCGGCCTTCCCAACCAAGTCCACGGACCCCTTTACGGCCTCCTACCTCCATCCGTGCCGGGTGCTGGGACCCGGAGCAGAGCACCGCTGACAGGGAGCTGGGGCAGGGTGGTGGCCAGGGAATGGGCAGACTTGGACCCCAGCCACAGCCGGGCCTGGCCCCTGATGCTCAGGGCCTGCGGAGTGCTGGGTCCCAGGTCCTGCGGGGTTTACGGCTCAGAGACCAGAGCCCATGGAAGTTCCCACCTGACTTACTCCTTGTCCTGGTGCCCCTCCTTCCCTGGGCTGCTCAGCTCTCACCCTCCGCCCCCTGCTGTGGATGGTTTCCTGACCCCATATCCCCCAGCTGACTGTGAGTTCTGAGAATGAAGACCACCTCACTGCAGTCTGACACACATTGGCCAGCCCAGGTCTGACTCAGAGCAGGTCTTTGGTATGGATGGAAGGACAGAGGTTGGCTGGTGGATGGCGAGTGGGTAGGTGGGTGGATGGGTGGTGAATGGGGGGGGGTAGATGGGTAGGTGGATGGATGGGTGGATGGATAGATGGACAGATGGGTGGGTGGATGGGTGGGTGGATGGATGGATGGGTGGGTGGGTGGGTGGTGAATGGGGGGGGTGGATGGATGGATGGAAGGAAGGAAAGATAGATAGAGAACGAGCTGTCTGTTAAGGCAGCTCCAAGACAGGAGATCAACTAGAACATGGTGTGGGTCTTGCAACAAAAGTCCCTGCTTCCTGAGGCCATTCACTGAAAATGGTGGCTATCGAGCCCAGTACCCTCGACCCAAAACAAAGCCTCGTTAAGCTTCTCCCATTTGAACCTCACAAGCATGGAAAGACATTGGCTCCCATCACTGTCCCCACTCTACCGACAGGAATATCAAGGTTCAGAAAGGCTAAGTGACTCACCCACAGTCACGCAGCTGGTTTGGGATGCAGTAAGGCTGACCACCCCGTCAAGGTCCCACTCACTCATGCTGCAGAGGACGCACAGAAGAACAACCAGGGCGGGGGAGTCTGCTCTCTCTGGCCAGGCGCCAGGCCCCGACTCATGGGGTGGGTCCACTCCGAGGTCTGGCCTCCTGGAGATGTTCCCAGGGCAGGAAGGCTGGATGCCAGCCAGGACTCTGCACGGACCACAGGGCATCACCCCCCCTGCCTACGGTCACACTTGCCCTTCCAGGCACACCTGGCTGCCACCTGGATCCCACCGGGTGCCCAGTTCCCAGGCGGGAAAAGTGAGCCCCGGAGAGAGCCACATCCTGAGAGCTGCACTCTCCCTGGTTCCAGCGACAAGGCCACAGGGCATCAGCGGGCATCAACTTCAAAGCCTAGACCACCCGTCACGCCTGACGCCCTGGGGGGTGGGGTGACCCTCCCCCCGATGCCTGACACCCTGGGGGGGGGTGACCCTCCCCCTCACTCCTGACTCCCTTGCAGGGGAGTGACCCTACCCCCAAGCCTGACTCTCTTGCGGGGGAAGGGTGTTCACGTGAAGTCATGTTTTGAAAGACAAATTCAAAATGAGGTCCCAGCCTTGAGGTCAGAATGCCACCAATGAACCCCGACTTAAGGTATTTCAGGGAAGAGCTCCTGGCCCATCTCGGGAGCTCATCCCCACCAAATAAAGCTGTGTAAACGTGCCACAGCTAAGCCCCACGACATAGAAAACCTCAGGTTTTTGTCTGTTTTCAGTCTAAACCCCATACACAGTCCAAACAGTCCAAACGCAAGTCAGTATGTAGAACATGACCTCCTGCTGAGTTACTTGTCTCGACCCTGAAAATAAGACTTTGCAGGATGAAACCAAGCCGGCTGGGGGCCACCAGACACTTCCCGGGTGTGAGGAGTCCCTTTGTCACGTCACTGTCACCTCAGGCCAGCCCCCATCTCCTCCTCTATCCAAGCAGAAAACCCCTGGGCGCTGACCCCTGGGGGTGTGGACAGGAACCCCCTCTGTCTCTCCCAGGAGGAAGAGGGCGCATTCACCCTGCTGGGGTGAAATCTCAGCTCAGGCACTTCTCACTACAACCTTGTGACATTTATCACCGTCATCCCCGTTGTGGTGAGAGGAGGACTGAGGCACAGAGAGGGTAAGGAACTCGCTTGGGGTCACACAGCCAGAAAGTGGGAGTGCAAGACTGCAAACCAGGTGACCCGGCACATAAGCAAAGTTCCCTTAACGTCAGGATGCTTGTCTGCGATAGGCACTTGTGACCTTTA